TTGGCGCTTTGTCTCCCAAAAAAATAGCATTTCCAGCTCAACTAGATCTTAGTGATGTGGATAAGTAACTAGTTAAAAAACATTTCCTTAGAAATCACTACCCTTACTTGAATACATCACTTGGACCTCTAACTCAGCACTTTGTTGGTTAGGCCTAATTATAGCTATTGACAACAAATCGAAAAATTGATAGCTTGAGTGGTTTAACTGGCTGTTTGGTCATTTGGCAGTTCATTTGGTCACAAAGCTTGGCAATTGGCTTGCGGACTAACCACCATGCTCGGCGAACAGATCGATTGCTATCTGATTGACAGCCACGTTTAGCTAATGGAATAGTCTACAGAGTGCTGCTGAAACCCTAAGTGCGACAGCACTGAGTTGAATAAACGGTTTATACTGACTTAGCGAATATGCACTCATTTGCAAACTATTTGGTTTTTGGAACCCAGCTGAATCTCTGGTTTGTGATGTTCTCAGACAACTGAATGTGCACCAGGCCGCCTCATGTTTCAGTCGCTACGATATTCGAGATATCACGACACATGTATATTTAGTTTCAAGTAGAACATACGGTTGACGGAAATCCGAGGACTGCGCCTACCTGATGAGCCCCGAAAATGGCGAAACCGGTCGTGGGTTGTCGACGGTTTTTCATCAACCATTTGAGTAGTACATTACAAAGGCTTCCACTGACGTTCAGTAAATCGCTTGAAAGTACCATAATATGATAAAATGCATTGCTGCAAGCAAAATCATCAGCCCTGATTTGAGCGAAGATCGTGAGAGACAGCATAACTGGGCACAATCCATCCAAATTTCAGCGGAACATTGATGTAAACGCTGGGCAGAAAAAAAGCACATGCACAAATGGGTCTGCAGCCAAATTAATTACTGACTTACTGAGTTACTGTTGTGCGTGCTGGTTTTTAAATGCACACGTTTCTGTGTATACTGGTAGGCAGCTCTGATGCACACAATCACTTGCCTTGGAGGAACAGTATGCATAGCCTCAAGCTGAACACAACTGATCGGCTAGCATACCAAAACTTCCAAAAAATCAAATAAACAACCAGCCTGCAATCGGATATTTCTGGAGCAGACATCCCAATCTGAAAAGTTAGGGAGCTTAAGACCTCAGAATGTAAAGGGCTGTGTTTTCTAACAGGCTGACATCATAACACATCACCCCTCGAATGAGGACAACCCCAACAGGCAACGCGATCACCAAAGAGGTAATTTCAGCTCTACTGTGATCTTCCTTTGAGGACCGGGACCGAAGTGAAGACACGCTCGAAGTACGTGAATTGCTTATTCACTCTTCAAGAAGAAACAGCACAAGGAATATGCCATATGGCATTGACTCAGGTTGATTAATCGAATGTCTGATGTCACATGCATCACTGATAGTCTGTCCCTTCAATTTGCGGAACTGGCCTGGCCATGATTTAGCCTGAGGTACACCTATAACACCAAGTAATGTATTTTATCACGGTTGGAATACCGACGGAGGGACCTGAAACACTGGCTGGAGCAATGCAGGTTAACTCGCTATTTATCAAGCTCAGGATAAACAATATTGTTTCCTTCACAATATCATAACATACATTCATGACAAATTCTCACTTTGTAACTTTGTTGTGTTTGGTTAAGTATAAGAAACTGCTCCATTCATTGAGGGGACTGATGACCGACATATGCACTCAGCTTGTTCCCTAGTATGCTCCGTTCCATGATACATCGCCTAAGACCAAGCGAAATGCTCCATCGCACGCTCACGAAATCTGTTGAAAACGCTCGCATACAACTGAAGTCGCTTAACTTAACACAATAAGTGAGTTATACATCTGTTATTTGCCACCTGTCACAGGGTATCACCCCCGTCAAACAGACGATGTGTACTCTCAAGGCGTTTAACCTCGTGGGCACTAATGCGTCGTCAAATTAGCGACCTCATAGCCCTAGTATTAACATTAAATATCGTACAGGGCTTCATTCTCGCCATCCTGGTTAACTTAATAAGTCACCTCATTATCATGTGCAACCTACATTAGACCAGCACGTGACCCTAAAATTCAACTTGTTCAGCGGAAACCCCGCACCTATCGCTACAAGTTCAGTTAGCCACAACGACCACTGTACTAATCGCTGACCGCAATGGACTGTTGCAGAACTTACATGGTTGACTTGTCTTTGTGTGCATATTATTCTAAGCAGAGTAGGTCATGTCTTTACACCCACAAAATGACATTCACTCTACTGGACTTTCAAAATATGCTCTATCTTTTCATCCGTAAAAATTCTGAAATATTTTCGCGGGTAACCTTGTCCCCCATCTGAAAACGTTAATAGTGCAGAGCCGATCTAACGATGCACGAGGTGCATAAATTTTTCGTCAGTTCAATACACTTTGTGTCTTTATTTTTACTTAGAACAAACGAAATATGAAGACGACCTCAGACCATGAGGCTCCTTAACCAAGTGGAGTCACTTACATGTGTCCTCTGAGAGTTGCACTGTCGTAGGATGACAAGCAGACCTAATCCCACCAGATCTTACTAGATAGTACTGAAATCCTAACAACGTGTTGACGACTGTAATTTTAGGTTTGAAGAACATTCTGCGACATCCCGTTCGTTTACTGGTTTCGCTCTTTTTGAAGCATCTCAGGTAGTAGGCGTAGTCACTGAGTTTCCAGTGCCCATATTCCCTGACTGATCACCGCATCAGTATGTAACTTCACCAACCAACTTGGTCTCCAAATGAATACAATACAGCACAGTAGGCAGTGTAATGTCCTATGGTGCCCCTTTCAACAGTCGAGTGATAGTACCGTTTGGGCAGGTCACTCACCACGTTAAGCGATATTACTTTAACAGCAGGGCTCTTAAATTCCCGTTTCCGCTATTCTTATATTCATTTTTTTAAAATTCCTGTGGAACTCACTCTCTATGTTTTAACTGAGTGGGACTGAACCGAAATGCCCGATTCTCAGCGAACCGAAAGTACAGGTTCAGGTAAAATAAACAAAAGTCGTCTAAATGTACAAAATTTGCAACCCATGATGCCTATCCAAGCTTCAGTCAGTCGGCGTTGTTGGGCTGCCGGAGTTGCTGACCACGGCAGAAAGAGCGTTGGAATCATCTACCCATTTCAGAATGAGTGTGACCTACCGGATAATCGATCTCACACCCGAAATCATAAGGTGTTAATCACTTTATGCATTATGTGGGATGTTATCATGATCAGCGCAGAGTGTTAATATTTTGTCATTTCGGGAATAGGTAGATGACATCTACACACGTCAGATTTCGAACACATCGGACCCAATGTTTATCGAGAGTAATCGAATGATTGAAACAGACAATGATGCATTGATATTCCCCGGCAATCTAGCCTTGCAAGAGAGATGGGTAAAAGTGACTGAACAACAATGCAATAACTTGAGTCAAGGAGACCAACACAATATGACCACCGGAAAACCTGTCTGGAGAACGTTAGCAAACAGGATACTCACTGTGAGCTAGATACTTGGCACGTGTTGATAAATAAATGTAATGCGACAAGTGGTTAGAAGTACGGAACAAAATAGCGTGACAGAGGGCCTGAAACAGTGAGCACCAAAGTGCCTCCTTATGGAGTTATTCAGAAGAACAGTCTCTGTTTAGACATCCATTGTCGATGTTTTTATAACTGTCCTTGTTATAAAACAGCACGTGAAATCACCCTCAGATTGTTGATGAGCCAAATGCGAAGCCAGTTTCTGTGAGCACATATAACCTTACCAACTGTGGAGTATAGATGGTGTGTAGTAAAGATGATGTACTTCATCAGTAAAGTTTCCGATCAGGAATAAGGATGAAGCCTGTGGCCGCAAGAAAACATGTCAGATGTTGCAGCAAATATTGCTTGGGTGTTTTTAAAAGAATGATCCCTACGGTTTCCTTCATAAAAATGTCGGTAAACATCAGAATAACCAACTTTTCTTTTTCGAAAAAGATTGGTAACAATCGGTAGATTTATTGCTGAGCAGCGTTTCTCGTTTGACACAAAAGCTTCATCGGGCCAAGTGACTGGGTCATAAGGCTGGTTGAGATTTGAGGCGGAAGGAAAACCTATCAGCTAAGTCAAGCTAAATCTGTGTTAAATGTCAGCCAAGGGACTTTGTTAGGGTGGGTCACCAAGTGTTAAGTTGATGGGAAAACCTAAATGGATTTGGGTCCAGCTTAGGGTCTAGTGCTTCCGGTTTGGCTCACGTGATGATCCCTCCTGGAAATCGGTTGCACTTTTCGTACGTCTGTGTAGATGAACTAGCGCTATGATAGTTGTGTAAGCAAGAGGGACTGTTTGTAATATACTACTCATAAGGTTGCTGAAAATCCATCGACAGCCCACGACCGGTTTCGCCCTTCTTGGGGCTCATCAGGTAGGCGCAGTCTCCGGGTTTCCCTCAACCTTATGTTCTACTTGAAACCAAATTAATTTGCAAGTGAATGTATATTCCCCAAGAGGGATTCTGTTTTTGCTGATGAATCCGCGCGCATTGACAACCACGCAGTCAGGCTTCAGCTCAGTTTATCTAAGACCGCTCTCCATACGCTCTCAGCTCCACACACTCGGTTCTATTCACGCTATGATGCTTGGTGACCTCCACGGCCTCGGCTATCAGCCGCTTTGGTGTGAATCGCAGTCCCTGTCCTAAAACTTCCACATTCTCAAGATCTATTCTATGTCCTGTGTCCAATACATGTACTGTCATTGGTGAGACCTAGATTGGCGTTTGGTATTCTGCCGCATTTCTTGGTGGTCTGTTTATCCTCCTTTTATGCTCACCAATTCTGGTGTGCAATTTCCTGGCGGTTTGCCCTATGGAAGCATCGCGCTCGGTTCCGGAGCATTTGAAGGATATTCAGCCGGTTGAAGGCACACTAGAAGTGATGAGCATAAAAGGAGGATAAACGGACCACCAAGAAATGAGGAAGAATGCCAAACATTTTTTTGGCTCATTGAACTTTTCGTTTTCTTTGTCCTTCAGAACCTGATATCCCCTGTCCATGTTTCCCACTTTGCCCAGTAATAAAGGATCGTCGATTGAATGGTTCTTCATCTAGAAAACCTCCGTCTGGAGACTTCTGGGCCGTCGACGTCACCACTAAACAGAAGATTGTCTCTTCAATAAGCGAATCGTCTTCAGCCAATCGAACAGAAATGCTCCCATATCTTGCATCTTCTTCATCCACGTAAGCAGCTGTCGTGACGAGCTTTTCATCTTCGTATCCTGTTACCTCCATGGCTGGGCACTGTGCGTTGTGTGGTGCACGTTCCATCCCCGGACGGCACACAACCCAGAACCACTTTTACAGGATGCTTTAGCCAGCTAATGTCACATTATATGATAGACCAACTGATGCACCCGATCGGCTGGTCGGAACTAAATCGCATTGCCAACAGCATGAGCAAACGAATGAGAAAATCAATAGCCGCATGCTGCAATCCTTCAATCGTCTGTGAGCAATGTGTATAAATCCTCGTGTGGTCGCCGCATCGTCCGACGAGTGCACTGCGCCCTGCTAGTGAGGCACTTGTCTCACACGCCCATGGCCAGAAATCTTAGACTACTCAACCATTTAACCAATGCATGTGTCCCCAAAATTTTAGCTGTCAGAACTTTCGAAAAGTTTCACAGTTCAACCGATGTCTCTATGCGCATTAGGTTGCGAAATTTCAAGGGGAGAGCCAAGTAGACCGGTGAACAAAACCAATCTTGACTAGGGTAAATTTTACCCCACTGGGTATGACAGCCGTCAATACCGGTAACTGCCGCAAACGACCACCCTGCGAGTAAAATTCTACACCTATATCAAGTAAAGACCAACATCTGTTTGACTACGACCGTATAAAATCAAAGTACACAGGCGCAACAATGCACAACATGGTCTTCGTGAATAGGTCATCGTGTAAGTGGCACCAACAATAAACCGTACTGTTGAGGCCGATTCTGTGGCACAGCGGTCATAAAACCGACAGATGTAGTAAACGCTGTGTTCTTGTATCCGCCTCTGAAGCAGGCCTTGAAACGAGCCTAGTACATTCTATTTCACTATGGAGCTGGTCATATAACGGATGGATAGTATTTAATAACACTCTGTTGACCAACAGTATTTATTATGAGGGAACGAGCTAAATATATCTCAGCGTCTAAGGTGCGAACATAATGACCTGAAGGTCCATGGCTCGAACCCACCAACATCTTGACTGCATCTGCCTAGGCTTGGGCAATCTGACAGTATCTCAGCCCTGGTACTTCCTTCGGGTGGCATTGCAGCTAGGCACCGAAAGGGTGTTACAGCTGAAAACTTATTGATGATTTTACCATGCGAAAATAATTTCTGATGTCTATGATGAGTACGGAACCACGACACACAGCCAGAAAAACATCAAAGTAGAATGCTTCAATGCATTACATGGAATTTTATGTGTGGTTTTTTTGTCAGTTAACTTATTTTAAACTGCTCATTATCTATCAACAACCTGATCTATTGAAAAACTCATGGTCAGGAATCACGTGAATACAATAGAATCAATAAATCCATCTGAAGGAGCAAAGCCGAGGCTGGCACTGAAAGCTGAATTACAGTTTAAAACGCAATGTATGAGGCAACTTTCGTCCGCCGTTCTTTCTTTAAGTTCTTCAAGAAAGAGGTAATAAGTCATGCCAGTTTTTCACAAAGACGCTTTCTCTGAAGGTCGTTGCCATTGCCATTGATTCATTGGCTAAGATGAACCGTTTGACCTCTTAAGCATATTTCATTAGTGTTTGGACCTCTATACTAAGATAAGGGGCCTCGTTCCCGTCCCCAAAGTCTTGTCATGCAGTTCAGGATCCCAGTTGTTGCTGACAGTGGGGGTGGCGGGATTTAGCTATCCGAAAGATGGGAATGCGTTTACAACCCTTGTCATCCATAGTTCATCCGCCAGTGAGGGTTCTGGTGTTTGTCTCCGACGTGTGCCAACAAACTCGACATTTCTAAATTAGTGGACGAAGGAATAAATTCTTAGAAGGTGTGACGCAACACAACGGAGTGATGTTAACCAAGGGTTCGTACAGGAGATGACTCAGATGAGCCATAGAGAAACCAAACTTAGCTACTCATTTACTGATTGTAGAAGGTCCATGCCGCTTTCAGTTGGACCACCGAATCCAACAGGGATGGACCATTAGTACATCAATAATCTTCCACCTCGAATAGGTCGTGAAGAACTCTGGTGTGGTAATCAGTCTCCATGGTGCCGGTATCAAGAGCGTGCAACACTGAGTTGGATTTGGAGGACATCGATGTCTAAAGCTACAATTCCTACAGGAAACATGGACGAAACCAACTAAGCAATCGGAACAGGGGTGTGAACCTAAGGCAAGGGCCTTTCCATTAGGTTCTCTCATCATCCGGACAAGACTTCACTGTTGATTTTCAGCACTCATTGGTAAAAGATAAGGGGGTTAATTCCAAACTCTCCATTTGGTGCCTGAATCTGAATAGAATTGACCAGCGCAGATGCAACCAAGTGATAAAGAACTTTTGTTATCAGTCTGGTAAAGTAAGGTTTCCTAACGGAATAGTAGATACCCTTGGAAGTCATCAGTACAGAAAGGCAGCGAATAAAACCCTATTTCTGTTATTGTCATCAGGCTAAATACGCCAAGAATCGAGATGGAAATGACCAGTCCCAAGTCACTCACAAGTTTCCACGGAAGAAGGATGGGTAACTGGGGGTCAATGGAGTCAAGCGCGTACACTAAATAGAAAAAAAGATGATGTCAGTGCCAGCCTTAAAAGTATAACTGAACTGATTGTAATCCAACGCTAGTCCAAAGGCAGTATCAACCTTTTCCGAGCACAAATCCGGGGTTGCGCATCCAAACTTCAACGGTCCCAGGGGTCGATAGGCTTCTGGAGCATAGATCCCGTAAATGATTTACAGTTACCCAGAAGGGGATATTTCGGATACGATTCCCTTTTTGGAAGGGTAATCCGCATCAGTTAACCCTGCTACACTGACGACTGGACTAGGATTCTTTGTTCAACCGGTTGGTGAGACGGGGTTGTGTTCACGTATGCTATCTGACGAATGTCTTCGCACACGAACGTATGATGCCCAACAGGAACACACGAATGAGTGCACTCAGAAGCTGACGCCCCTCAGTTCGAAATGAGACCCAAACGTGGATTAGCAGTGTTTTATGTGAAATCTCTTATAGTCTCAATCTTCCTATAAGCAAAATTGAAATTCTGGGAAACAACCTTTCCAGCGGGGAACAATTTGTAGACCATACAAGTGAACGATGCATGTATCTTGACTTTCGGTCGAGATAATAACCTAACAAAGCACTGAACATGGGTGAGTTACACTGTGGTCTACTTTGTGAAGCCAACGAAACGACTCACACCCCTCTGCGAAGGGTCATCCGATTCGTTCACTTTCTCAAGCATTACTGTTTACATGCATGTCTCCACAAATCGAAGAACTTGTCGTTCGGCCACAGCGTTAGCTTACAACCATTCGGTCACATTGGGGAGGCATCCGATCCTAATGTACAAGTAATCTGTTCATTTCGATCATTCCCCTGACAAATTTCCAAGTTTTCTGAAGGAATATGAAAGTGAGCGGTATGTAATTTTGAAGTTTGTAGATGTGTCACACCGATCATGATTAAAGCTTACTTCATCTCCAGTTTTTCTACACTCCTTTCTTGTTATCGTCCAAGACGGACGGTCCATCAGAAACGATGACTTTGATCCGACCTTTCAGTTTATTCCAGAACGGAACAACTGCATCCACAAAATACTTGTGAATAGTGTGGTTTCTCCACCCAACTAGCTATCGATCCTAACTGATATCCATCACCTGGAAGTGCTGATAATAGATCACGTGAATTCGATGAGTAGTTGAAAGGCATTGACCTTAGCAATACATGACAGCTGAATACATTTTTCAGTTGATGAGTTTGCGTTTCATATGCTTCCAGGACTAACCAGTTATTGACTTACACAAACTGATCAATGGTGCGTGATTAGACTTTATCCTAACTTACCATCATTGCTCAGGCAGTTATGGGCTCGGAAACTGAGGAAAACCTCTGGTCAGATCCCCAAACTGAGCTTATTCGCCTGTTTCGCGTTGTACCCCGTAAACAAGACGTAGAGATTACCCTCTCTACATCATTAAGTCTAGATTCATTTTGCCAACCTAACTAGAGGACGTTACCGGATGTAAACATTTAGGCTAAGACCATCAGTCAATACGGCCTTGAAAAATCGATGACAATCACACACGATTAATGTAAATGATATAACTTAAGTTTGTATGCTCTTGACCAGCGGTCCCTGGCTTACTATTGCAACAGGACGATTGAAAATCGTTTATCAACAGGAATGACTGCCAGTGGTAAAGCATGTGAACCTGAGGGCTAACTGTAGTTTGACAACTGTTTTACGCATCAAAAACGACCGATGTCAGTACCTCTACGAGTGCGGATATCAAACGTTCTAAGAAGGCTGTAGTACCTAGCCACAAGATAAAAGGGATGTGGCGGTCACCCACCTAGTCAGGACCGCCGTCGAACTTTATCGGTTCGGTCACTCCTGACAACCGCTGTATGATAAGCGAAACGTACAGTACATCACACTGCTACTTGTGTAAATAAAACCTGAACTGGAAAGGAATTACACATGGTGGTCCAGGAGACCAAATAAATAAGAAGGCCAGCAATCTACTCTACTACTCGGTCTTGTCCCCTTCCCCAGTGTCTTTATCAAGAGGGTACGTCTGCACTGTGGAAGTAGTTATGAAACCAGAAAACGCTTGCCAAAGTGATTCTTTCTTAGCGGGCCCTTCTGTTGGCCCATCAGTGGCCTCGATAACCAGGGTAAAAAAGGCCAAGCCTCAGGATAAACACACAGCAGCTGTAGTCGCTTGCATGCCCATGATTAGATGCTCTCTCGCTGCATCACCGTTCGTTGGTTTGACCGCGCTTAACTACCCCCTTATGGGGCGAGACGGACCAAGTGGTGCGCGAGCGAATTTACTGACCGGAAGGTCCGTAGTTCGTACCGGACCTCTGCCGCTCGACTTCCCCTGTCTAGGCTTGGGTAACCTGGTAGTATCCCAGCCCTCGTGCCTCCTTCGTGTGGCATGACAGCTAGGCACCGAAAGGGTGCTACAGCTGAACGATTATTATAATTTATTACCCCCTTATTTGTACCTGTCAGAATATGTCTACAACTCATGTATCAGTTGCAGATTGATCTTGCAGCCCCTGTTGCTTCACATTGCCAGCAGAAAATTAAGCTGGCTGTTGGATGCGTTTGTTGCACTTTAAAATGTACAAGATAATCAGTCTGGTGAAAACCCCCGATACCCATATATCAGCTCTCTACCCTGGTTCAGTCAGAGTGGTCTGAGTTTCGTAAAAATGCAAACCGGTGGAGTTAATCTGATGATGTTTGTAATTTACACTACTGTCACAGTTGAAGGACGACGATTAAACCAGTTCGAGTCCTCATCATTTGGTTCAGAGAGTTTCATTCGCTCTCTTTGCGATCCACTTACCTGAAGTGTTAATTTCCCTACCACAAACAAATCTAGTGAAATTCACCTGACTTCTGTTGTCAGGAATGAACCAATGACCTCATTTTAAACAGTATGCATAGTTTTATAGTCCAATTCTCCTCCACCCCACATAAAGGGAACGCGTTCTCGAGACCAACTGAAATCGTGTTCCTCCCTTGGAAGGCACACATTCTCAGCCTCAATTTACAGCACATTTCTGTACAGATGGGGTGGACACTAGCCTACATGATGAAAAGCACGCCGGTTTATCTTACCAACTAACTAACTACCTAACCAATCATATGGAAATAAAAATCGACATTATCACGTTGGAGAATCAGCAACCGAAAAACAAACAAATCTCTCATGAAAAACACTCATTTGCACACCAATATGTTTTAACAGGAAAATCATCTGAATGGCAGCTGAACCGCACGTTTATAGTATTCTTCATCCGAATGTGCTGCCCCCATGTTTCTTTTGGTATTACATACGAGACATTGCAGTGGATTTGGTTCCGGTATATACCACTCATAAGGTTGCTGAAACTCTTCGACAGCGGCCCACGACCGGTTTCACCCTTCTCCAGGTCCATCAGGTTGGGTGCAGGCCTCCTGTTCTACTTGAACCCAAATTGTACGAAAATTACGAATCATACTGATTTGCACACTAATTTGACTTAAACGGGAGACTTAAAAGAATTCCGGTTGAATCCTTCGTTCATCATCGTGCTGATCCTTCACTGAACCTGTCAACAAAGGCACCCTCGTTTGTCAATACGGAACAGTACGGAAACTATCTGTGATGAACATGACTGATGCTCTATTCATTGCTCTATTCATTATTCTCTTGTTTTAATATTCCATATGCTGTACATATTCGCCAATTCGAATACATACGTGCTGGTTGCCACTCTTCGCTGAATTCTGGATTTCTAGTTTGTCGGGTTATACCGATATACGTACGAAACTTAATTCCCATATTTTGGCGTCGCGACTGGAACAATTCATCATGCCTGCCGGAATGGAACCATTAGATGTTAATTCAACTGCGCGTGACGTAGAGGATTATTTGGAACGATTCGACATATGGTGCCTCACAAAATCCGATATGGATGATAAGAAACTCACTGCATATTTCCTACATTTCGTTGGCAAGGAGGCGTATACTTTGATCAAGAATTTAGTATATCCTGAATCTCCAATTGATATTTCTTACACTGCATTGAAAAACAAAGTTCTTCAACACTTCAAACCGATTAACTTCGTAGCAGCCGAAAGAGCTAAGTTCAATATGTTAGCCCGCTCTCATTCTCAGTCGGTTCGTGATTTCGTGTTACAGCTGCAGACACAGGCAGCCAAATGTGACTATGGTGCCCAACTGGAAGACCAGCTGCGTGATAGACTCATTGCTGGCATTCAACTGCCCGAATTACAGCAGAAGCTGTTACTCTGTCCGGATCAGAAATTTCAAACTATTCGGAAAATATGTGAGCAGTATGAAGATGTGAAGCATGTGACGAAGACTGAGGAAGCAGTCTTGTTAAATTATTCTAAAAGAAATAATTCAAGGATGCGGACGAACAACAAATTCAAACCTCGAACAGATTCTCGTGCCTCAAATCCATCAACACGTCACTTCACAGATCGTAACCCTAATCCGATGGCTCAAAAATTCGGGAAATGCGAGTCTTGTGGACGAAACCATTCCAGATATTCATGCCCCCACAGACGAGCCAAGTGTTTTAGCTGCGGTAAAACAGGACACATTCAACTTGTCTGTAAGTCCAAGAAAGTGTGTCACTTAACTTCTGACCCAAACACTGACGTGAAGACATTATCTGAAGATATTTCTACTCTTTCTCTATCTGTTTTGTCCCAAAATTCGTCACATGTTTTTAAAACGTTGATATCCGCTTCTGGTCAAAAGCATGGCTTTATTGTTGATACTGGTAGTGTTGAGTCCATCATTCCACAATCAGATCTAACTGCATTCTACCCCAGTGCCGTGATAGTGCCTACAGATATTAACATTCGCGGTATCACTGGACATTCTGTACCTCTCGTTGGTAGTTGCACGATCCCTGTGAGGTTACTACAAGGTACCTGTATCGATTGTAATTTTTTGGTATCAACGTCGGGACCATCGATCGTCGGACTCAAAGTTCTACGCTTACTGCAAACCAGTATCACCTTACTGACTTCTGCGAATGAGAATGAACTCAAGCAACTGATTCTTAAATGTTCTAAGGCCACAGGTGGCATGCAAATTCCCAAGATGAGGCTCGAAGTTACAGGAGAGCCTATATTTCTTAAGAGACGGATTATTCCATTTGGTTTACGCGAGCCTGTTCGTCAAGCATTAAATTCAATGTGTGCGAAAGGAATACTGACTCCTGTTGAGTCATCGAATTGGGCAACTCCGATCGTTACCCCACTGAAGGCTGATGGTATTACTCCGAGAATTTGTGGTGACTACCGGCTTACGCTAAATACGCGGCTACTACAACGTACATGCACCACGGAAGAGCCAGAAGATGTATTGTATCGTTTATCAGGTTCAAGTGTGTTTTCAAAAATCGATTTAAAAGATGCTTATCTTCAAATACCACTGGACGAAGCCTCCAGTAACCTTACCGTGATCAACACACCCTTTGGGTTATTCCGATACAATTTTCTTCCCTTTGGTCTGAACGTTTCACCAGCTGTATTTCAGCAAGTTATGAATACTATTGCAAAAGATTTGGAGGGTGTTGAGACGTACCAAGATGACGTCATTGTGCACGCTGCTGACAAAGCTACCCATGATATGCGTCTGTTGTCTTTACTGAAGAGATTTTCTGAGTTCAATGTAGCTATTCATCCTGAAAAATGCACTTTTGGTGTCCCATCATTTTCATGCCTTGGCTACATTGTGGATGGCAGCGGTTTTAAACCTGATACAAGACGTCTATCCCCTTTAGTAAATGCGCCATCACCGACCAATCTACAAGAACTGCGTTCAGTTCTAGGAGCACTTCAGTATTACTCTCGTTTCATTCCTAATTTCGCCAAACACGCAAGTTGTCTGTTTGATGTCATATCTTCCAATCAATTTTCTTGGTCTTCCAACCATGAGAAGGCGTTGCGTGCACTGCTTGGTTATCTTCAGACTTCAGCTGTTTTGAAGCCATTTTCCGCCAAACATCATTCGACGATCATTACTGATGCTTCTCCCACTGGAATAGGAGCAATCCTCGAACAGTGTGGTAGACCAGTGATCTGCATTTCCCGTCGACTTTCAAAAGCCGAACGTGGATATTCTCAGACTCAACGAGAAGCACTTGCTGTATATTGGGCTGTCAAACGGCTTCATAAGTATCTTTTTGGATTGAACTTTACCATTGCTACTGATCACGAGGCTTTGAAGTTCTTGTATCATCCAACGAAGTCTCTGGCGAAGTCATCTGCCGCTATGGTGCAACGGTGGATTATTGCATTGAGTTCTTACACCTACACAGTAGTTCATCGTAGTGCGAAAATGATTCCTCATGTCGATTTCTTGTCAAGAATTCTATCATGTGACTCTGATTCAAACAACTCAGATTGTCTACTGATTCAACCATTACCAGTCAAGCGGGATGTGCTTGTTGCTGACACTAAAAGATATTTCGCTCCCATTTTCTCTGCACTGCGACGTGGCTGGACGCAGCAAGAACGACGCCGATTTCCTGCTTTTTACTGTCGCCGCGAAAGCTTGTCCGTTACTCCGGATGGTTTGCTGTGTTTTGAGGATAGAGTTGTCATTCCACCGACTCAGCGAGCGGCTGTTCTTGCAGATTTACACTCTGGTCATCTGGGTGTCGATAAAATGAAATCCCTTGCACGCTTGTCATGCTGGTGGCCGGAACTGGATGCTGATATCAAGCATACTGCTAAGAATTGTGTTAAGTGTGCACATAAGATTCATAACAAGTCTTCACAGTGGCATCCGTGGCCAGTTACTTGTGAAGCATTTCAACGAGTTCATGCTGACTACTGTGATCCTTTTCTTGGTAAATACTATGCTTTAATTCTTATTGACGCATATTCACGTTGGCCTGAAGTTTTTCTAACTACTTCTCCAAGTGCCGAATTCACTCAGCAAGCCTTGAGGAAAGTATTCAGCCACGAAGGTGTACCAACTGTTTTGGTCACTGACAACGGTTGAAGGGTCTTGGTTGTCGACATCTGTTTACTGCTCCGCGACATCCCCAGTCGAATGGACTTGCTGAAAATTTTGTCCGAACACTTAAATCTGCTATTATTTCACTCTCTCCTACTACTTTTGTGGAATTGGACCGTGGGATTGATAATTTTCTAATGCAACACAGGAACGCCGTCCATTCCGTTACTGGGAAGAGTCCCGAGCTTCTACTTAAATCTCGTTCGTTGCGTACAAGTCTTGACTGTGCCAAAACGGCTGATGTTACACTATCAAAAGGCTTCCATAACACAACGCTGTTTATACCTCTGATGAACTGTCTGGAAACATTTTTGACGTCATTAATAGTGCAGAGGTATCTGTAGGGGAATGTTCTCAACTCAGATGAGAGAGTGGATGTCATTCAGCGGGAGAAAGTCCACTACCGACTTCCAAAACATCTGCAGTCCAAAAAAAACGAACTTAATCTGTCAAAGAGGACAAGGAAAAAGTCATACATAACCTAGAAAATGGGAGGAGCGCTACAAAAGAGTTTTTGATTGACGGGATTCTATTCATAGATATAAACTGTGACAATGGCTTCGTGTATGGCACGAGCAAAACTCCCCACTGTGACAGGTGACTTGGTTGAAGAGAAGGTTTAGACGTCTATAATCAGTTTTTATCTTTGTACGCTCTGTGTGTCAAGCGGGTGGTTATAAAAATAACGCGGCCAAAGAACAACTTCATAATAGTTCCCTTCAAGACAACCAAACCTTTCTATTGTCAATAGGTTTTTAGCTGAATTTTATGGTGTTTCCATTTGATCCTCGCGAAAATATTCGAGATACCTATATGAAGCCTAGAAATTCCCAGGCTACAAAGCGTACCTCTTTGTTTGATTGTTTGTCAACTCCATGACGGTACATTCTTTTTTTCACCTGCCAAATGATTTTGTTCTTCGTTACTTTACGCATTTTAACCAACCTTTGGGCCCGGAGGCTGATCAGTGGGAACGTTCAAACGCTAAATACTGCCTCTGTTGCACTGTCTCTCTGCCTGTCTGTCTCTCTACCTCTCTTGCACTGTCTCTCTTGCACGCGCTGTGGTCCGTTGCTGTCTTTGATCCTTCACTTCTCGAGAACCGGAAAACAACTTGCCGTCGATACCTCTTTGTTGTTAAATTGCCCAGAAGAGAAGTTCTATGGAAGCAATACTGCGGTCTCGTGTTAAGTCTGATGTCAGCCACGTTTCTGGTGTCCAAAGCAAACGTTCTTCATCGGAATTCCGTCACTCTTGCTCTATCTATATAGCTTAAGCAGTAATGTTGAGTATGGGATGTTATGCATTCAGAAGATATTTTAAACCTGGGAGACTACGTTGCCTTTCTCTTGGAAGCATACTCCCTGCGGCGAAACTCTGGACGCTGAAGTCAAAACATTTCAGTCCTCAAAGCAGCCTAGAAATCTTGAGTTGCTCCTATTCAGGTGAAGCCCACTGCGATTTCTCACTTTTCCTTGAAGAAGCTATCCAGCTACACGCCAGAAGGCAAAAACTATCTAACCTCAGTGCAGTACAATCTGATCATTAGCTTTAATAACTATATCGATGAATATGAAGTTTCTCTTAGTTCATCGGTCAGTAAACACTCGAAATTGACTCTGTGTACTCTCAATACTCGTTATTCGGTTCATCTTTTGATTTATCACGATGGTTCCGTGAGTCGAGTAGCTTTGGGAGTTTGGGTACCACATAGGTCCACATTGCACTATCTCATGCCTGTAGTTTAACAGCTTCAGGACGTACTCATTTGAAAGTGCTGCTAGCTGGAAGGTTCGGAACCAAACGAATAAAATAAGTCCAGGAAAGCCTATAGGTTATATGGGAATTCTAAAAACAACCATAACAATGAATGAGCACGCCTTCAGTATCCCACATACTGAACAAGTGCAGGATCCTGAGTTATGCAAACTTTGATCCAGCCTTCACCTCTTGCATACAAGACCCATCTTCAGGCCCTTACTCTAACTTATGTTGATTTTTTCGATTTGAACAATGAGCCAAACTTGACAATGGCTAACCACAAATGCGCCCGAAGTTTGCCTACTGTTCTTGTCCTGCTTGGTGCAGACCGTGAGGCCAGCCCCACTATTCCTCGGGCAGCGCAACACGCAGTAGCGCTGAGTCAGGCGACCAGGAGTGCGCCGTGCGTCCCATCGCCCTAGGGTTTAGGTAGACCGGTGGAACCTTGACAAGCGAAATGCTGACTCAGCGGTGAGCGCACACGGACATGCAGGATTGGTGAGAACTGCACAAACTCGTCAGCCGAACGATCGATAACATTCATGTGCAGCCAGAAGGCGACAACGGATGGCCACGATTCCGTGTGTCCACGGCACAAGGGAAAGTCGTCCGGGAAACTGCAACCGCCGGCAGAAAGCATAGGCTAAGCACGCCTAGTCGATCACGGTTCCAAGTGGAATTATTGGTTGGACCGCAGCATGCTTCAGTAATAAATTTGGACATATCGTTCTAAGCTCCCGCGGAAAATGCTCAAATGCTCTAAAAATAATTGAGTCGTTGGTGGAAACAGTCAACTCAATAGCAAACAGATTTCGATCACTGAAGTGCAGTGTAATTAGCTGAATGAGGAAAATGTGGGGAATCTATCTTCAGTCCTTCTGTACGAGCTTTACTAAGGTCACCAAATCCAGAACATGACCAAAAAGGAAACAATAAGCTTCAGTCAACCTACTGCAGTCATCCTCTTTCAACCATACGACGAAGAATTGCACTTTTAGTGGCATAGCACTTTTGTCTGCCGCTGTCAGCCTAGCACTGGTGGTGGTGGTTGCCAGGTCTATCGGAAGAAATAAGGTCGCGGTAAAATACGGCCAGATAGGCTATAATGCTTGCACTTGTTATCAATCGATAGGAAGAATAAGCGAACTAACTGGAACTATTAGCAATTCCACTAACATAAGGCTTATCAGTATGTCTAGCTTTCGTAATCAAGCTAACCTCAGAGGATATAATTGAACACCCAACGAAGACAGGACGACTGGGGAGTATTGTCCTTCTCACTACAAGTTACCGCCCAAGAAATCATGATAAATAAGCGGTAGGTTCAAGTTAGGACCGTCTACCACATGGCCTGTTCATTCCCTGAATTGGAGTTTTAAGTTTCCTAATCTAAATCCATATATATAGTCCTATTTAGGTCCACTGCACTCTAGAGTAGCAGCGCCCAGGTTTCCGATTCCCGGTCACTCACCAGCCCTACCTTTGCGTAAAGCTTGGTAATAAATCTGTGAACCATTAGCCTTCTGTCAGTCACTCATTCGGTTGTAAACAATGTACCAAGGTGCAGTAGCTCCCGCTTTATCGGTTTCGTTGACCGAGGGTAGGAAAGTTGATATGACTGCGTGTAGAGTTGGGTAGAAAGGGTGTTGGCCGTCAGCTAATCTGTTGTGGGCAAAGCCGTTATATGCGTCAAAGTGTCTAGTGAACAGTAGGAAGAACATTCGTAGAGCATTCCTGCGCTTGAAAATCCATTTCAGTAACTTATGAGGAAGGCTAGAGAATAAAACAGTGAGAAAGAGCACATAAAGTAACAAATGTGTGAATAGGACTTAGAGGAACAGATAGCGATTCCAGTTTGAGAGGATAGAAAGTCGCCAGTCTTTTGTGCGCGAGACAACCATCTGAGATACTTCCCATCAGTCGATGTTGAAAGAACACGGCTAACAAATAAAAAACACAATCTCTATCGACTGAGTGAATACTCGTCCAACTGAAACACGAGGCTGTCCTCGTGTAGCACATTCAGTTGGATATTATAAACGAAAGATGTAGTTGATATCCGTTTGAGTATCTCATTCACAACAACTTAATTTACAAATGAGTGTTGATACTACTAACGTCATAGGATAAAAAAAGAAATCGGTCTAATGCACGACCACTCACTGAGTTATCTCTATCCCGGCTATTTGGTAGGTTAACCGCTGACGATCATTCATCGATCGACGTCCCAACCACCACCAAGCCCTGAATTTATTCAGCTCTTGAACAACCGGATGCATACTTTAAATAAACTCAATACAGACCTTGCCAGAGGTAATGTTCCGATATACTTTCGTTCCAAATTCTCGTCACACCTGGCCAATCCCTCTCGAAATTCTGTTGGTCCACCTATCACAAAGTGATTGCCGCTAGCCCATCAATATTGTCACGTCTGAAATTTAGCCCTATTCCGCCTAGCTATCAATATGTGACTTGATTCCAAGAACGACCACTTACCTCTTCACCAATCCACCTGTTGCCGGAAACACCGTCGTGATGTGGTATCTTTCATCGCTACTGTCATATACAACTTTATTCCCCCAGAAGCCCTCAGGTGTTCCACACATACCTATTGTTCTGCCCACCTAAGTAAGTTCCCCCACTTTGAAGCCAGGCACAGCTTTACGCTCCTTCCTCCTTCTACCGAAATTCGATATTAGGTGACAAACTACAGACTGTAATTAATGTATGAATGATACATCCGTGCGAACGTTTGTATTCCAAACATCTCGAGTTTGTATTGGCAATGAATTCGCTTCCATGTGAACAAAGAGTACATTGAGGGAATCAGAAATGAAACATGAAATGGTCCACCTAGCATGTGCTCAGAATGACCAGCACCAATCCGTATGGAGTGCAACATACTTCATAACACTTGTCCATAAGTTTTTCCATTGTTCATGGTATCATGCGATGACGTGTATAGACAACGTTTGTTCTCAACTGTTCCAGTGTAGATGGTCTGTTCCGGTACGTCACGCATTTAAGAGGACCTTAGGAAAAAAAGCGAACAGCATGTTCGTGGTGGCCCCTCAACAGAATCTCCCAGGCTAATCAATCTTGTGCAAAATCCTTCTGTTAACAAATTCCGGTAGCATAGAGCTGGACGAGTCACCGTGTTGCCATCATATTTCGTTGAAATTGCTCTTGGCTTCTAACTATGACAGTACACTGTCTTTCAAGGGCAGGTTATGGTATAACGCTTAATAAAGTTCGAATCCATAAACTTTTCTGCTGAATAATTCCGATGGGAAAAAAGACCCGATGAGTTTTGCACCAAGAAGCGGAGCCTTAACCGTGATCATTGGACTATTCTGGGTTCGCATAGTGACGCACCGACGTGAATCATTTTCCGCCCAAAAGGCGTCAGTCAGATGGAAACCTGACTGATCTGTCCACAACACCAGAAATATGTATTAAAGATTCTCCGGAAATCACGAACAGATGCTTTGTCGCTGTATCTTCACAATCTAGCTCTTGAGACTGTGGTTTCCAGAGACTGTTCACTCTCTCACATACTCCGAAGCATTGCAGCGCCGAGCCCTCTAGCATAGACTTGAATGTGAATTTTTCCCTCTTTATGGAAGATGATATCGGCATAGGATTTGGTGTGTAATGGGTCAGTCACACTTGTATCGCACGCGCCCCCGGTTAGCTGGGACTTGGTAATTTGCCTTGCCACGTATCTACCAGGGGCGGAATCTAAATCATGGTACAGATTGTAGGAACACCTGGAAGAAGCCGGTGCGTTGATTTGCACTCAGTGTATAATTAACACATGCGTATTCGTTGTTCCGTTGATAAACGCTATTCAAGAGAACCTCGATGACCTGGTGAACTTTTCGTAGATCAAACTCCTGGCTGATCACCTAGTATCGTGCTGCTTACAGACGATTGTAGTTTAAAAGGTGGCTTTCCTTTTTGCTAGCGTGAGAGGGAAGGCTGGCAGTTTGACGTCGCATCCTTACTTCACTTGAAGGTCACGCATTGCCATCGAATTTTTGGCTGGCGAGGCTGTGTAGGTCGCGTCACTTCTGTATGTCCGTGTGCACTCACCGCTAAATTAGCATTACGCTTGGCCGGTCTGCCTACACAGTATTCCTGAGGTGATCAAATCAACGGCGCATTCTGGTCGTCTGACTCAGTTTCACCGGTATACTGTTTCGCTCGAGAAATTGTGAAGTTGGGCTCATGATCTGCATTAGTCTGCCACACCTACGAACCTGAGGAGAACAATGGCCACTCTGTGGAGTGATACCCACTCCAGACGCGGGTGTGCATGCATGCGCATTCGTGCACAGGTTGGATGATCGGAAAACTGCTAAGTGTTTTTAGGATGCGATGGTGTCACAGTGGGTTAAATCACAAATAGTTGTCGAGATGGTGCGGTGTATTTCTGATCGAGGAGATTCACGTCGCGATGAAGATAGTCCTTTCAAGTTGTTTCTTGGGCTGGAAACTTACTTTATTAAAGAAAACCCTGTATTCACAATTGGCTTTTGAAATCGTCAAAAGTGCTTCATTCTCAAGGGCTCTTCACACTCACGCCGATGTTTTGCGACAGCCTACTACCAGGATAGTGGTGAACGCCTTCTCCTGAAAGTAATGTCCTTTTTACTCGGTCTTGGATGATGGCGGATGCTTCTGTGGTGTAGCCTCTCATCGGAGAGATCTCTGATGGGAGGGATCAGTGTTTATAAAGTGACGTGGTTTTTATTAAAAAAAACGGTACTAGACAACTGATAATCCTTCCACTGAAATGACACTGGATCCACAGTGCGTTTTACTATTACCCAGCCATGTATCGGGTGGTCAATCCCTAAATTAACAAAGAAGAGAGGAAAACCATTTTAAGTCAGATCAACCATGCTGGTAACTGCCGTCTCTCCGCACGGGGTCCTCGAGACAGACCATCCGTTAGTGACCTTGACAGCAATGAGTACGTCACTCGTTCAATGGCGAACCTGCATTAAAGTTAGTTCTTTCATTACGTAGCCCTCCCATCCCATGTCATATCGGACGAACAGAACCACTCGACGTCACTTAATTGATTAGGCCATCTCCTCCAACGCATGACTGTCATTCCCTTATTCTCCTTATCCTTGATGGACAGAGATGTAGCAGATAGAACCAGTGTCCTTTGTTACACCGGTTTAGCTGAAAGTACGGTTCACTGTTACAAGCAAGTAAAATCACACGGATGACCTACTCTGGGCTATTCAGGTCTACTCATCCGGTGCGTGAACGATGTGGGGTGTCGTAAAGCTTTGACAGAAAAGTTGTAGTCGCCTTCTGAATGGGCTGATTTTTTGTGTAGTTTATCTTAAATAGGACTTAATTTGGATGCTTGGACACTTAACGTTTTGGTCCACCAAACTGCCTGCATTGCAATGTCGTAGAATCTAGTTGAAACAGCGGAGCACAGCACACAGCATTCTAAATAACGTACCTACATAGTCTGATAACGACGTTTTTTATAATTTTACTGACTTCGCTCTTTTAAATAAATGCTGTTACCCTGTGTGATATCCGCTCGGACTTCTGTGCAGATCGTGACGGTCCACACAATATGACCTAGAAGTGTTCGAAGTTAACGCGCAGCCGGGGAGCTTCACAAATTCCCTCGTACTACGTCCGTCGGTTCTCAACTTAACGCCTTGGTAACGTTATCCACATGATCTCGGTATACCTAAGAGTCCATCGTGTTTGCTTCCACAGCGAGACCGTAGGTAGTTCTGACAAAGTGACCTGAGAACTTGGTGTGTTCGTCAATAAACAGTTTGATGGTCGGATAAGCCGATGCGTACACGATTCCTGGTCCATAAAACCAGGATGTTTGTGGTTTGTGCATTTCAAATGAAGCGCCGGCCACCTCCACCACAGATGGTGTTAGACCATTAGACAGCATACGGTTGTGATGGAATGCGCTAGTGCAAGCCAGCGTCGTTGTTGACGCCAAAGCGCCATTGGTGTGTGCGCGTTTATGGCCCCATAAAAATTTTCATCATGGTAAACTAGATTGCCGCACGCAGCTCAATGTGGAACATTTGTAGTCTACGCAAGGCTTCGATGCCAAAAGCATACGGGTTTGGCAACGAGCATTTGCACATAGTGTTACACATATTTATCATTTGGCACCGGTAGTCGGCTGAAACCAGACACTTTGTTGGCCACTACTCTATTCTGGAACGTTCTCATCATTCTTCCTTCTGACAAATTCAGCAGCATTTTCATCCCCAGCTAATGTGAGGGACTTTGAACAAACACCCTAGTGGCTACAACAGTTGTATTCGTTCAGTTCCATTTTCAAAAATGTTCGTAACAGACTTCAAGTGTACGGTTCCAACTGTTTCTTGAATTTTCGATGATTTCTCACCAAGTCTAGCAATGGACTGAATTCATCCAGTACGCCCCGAAATTTGATATTCTTATGAGAGGCGTCAATCGTGTGCCGTGCAACACGGTTTTTTTTGTGTGTATGAAAACGGTATGAAACCCTATTGGTGAATTATTTCTCATTTTGTGTTGACAGCCACTGCTAGGTATACGAACTCCTTTCGGCTAGGGCACTGGAACGCTTAAAATTTGTAAACTACTCGGAAGACCTTGTGTTTTGGTACGTATTGTTGCTATTAATTTCCTCAGCCAGATTCCTAAAATAAATACTGAGAAACAGAGAATATGGACCAAACAAAAGTCAGTCACTTAATGCCAAAAATTTGTAAACTACTCGGAAGACCTTGTGTTTTGGTACGTATTGTTGCTATTAATTTCCTCAGCCAGATTCCTAAAATAAATACTGAGAAACAGAGAATATGGACCAAACAAAAAGTCAGTCAACTTAATGCCAACCGCCTGGAGTGCGGATGATGACACTGAAAATGACGGGTTTATTTACAAAACTGAATTCTCAGAGAACAAATCTTTGATTAGAAAATAAGCCAAATCTTGAATTCGCCTTAACAACTGATAGCGGAATATATAGTTATCGATATCCGTATACTTTATGTGCTTAGCCATTACCGGCTGTGGATGGCAGTTTAACAAGTCATTCACTTTGCGTCTCGTTTTAAGTAGATCAGCTTTGTTGTTTAAGAAGATCAACAAGGGTGAAATCGGGAGTCACGTCTACAATTTGAGTACAGTTCTCAATAAATGTAGTTATTTCAATTTTTTATTGACGTTACCTCTGTTATTGACGTTGGTGTCTTCACTTCTTTACCAATTGGTTTTAGTTTGACTGAACCATTTAATAGGCAACGTGATGAGATCCAAGCATCATTGTCACAGACTTCCAGTCACTGGGATCGTTCTGCGTCCGGTAAAGTTTGCTGGTGCCGTTCAGACTTCACCGAGGCAATCGATCTGACTGCCCGACACAGTTATGAGTCACGGGTATGTCTGGCTCACTGACGACAACTCCAAACGGGGATTCAGTCAGATCATTTTAAGTGACTGTCTGGACCCACCGCAATCATGATGAGGCGGTTCCTCTTTGGGATTACGGGTAGTGGAGCAAATGCACTCCCCTGCCCATGCTGATTCCGAACGAAGAGTATTTACTGACTGCATCTGAGGTAGTTGGCTTTCAGTGGTGCAATTAGGTGGAGGAACCCCCTAATCAGGATTTGTTCGATCGCATAGCTAACAATATTTCAACCATATCTACCTGCTTCATCTTATTTTGTGGACCGAGGAGCTAAACCCTCTGCGCAGACGAAAAGTTTGGAAATCTGATGAGGGAGAGCTTTTCTTCCTATCTGTCACCGAACATCTTGAAGACCCATACTTTATCTTCAGTGGTAGTGCCTACCTTTGTGAGCAACAAAACTGGCTATGCGATTATCTATAGCAGTTGTGAATCTGCCTCCATTTTATAGAACTTATTATCACTTGCTGAACCCGAAAAGCAGTGTGTGGAAAGATACATAGCTGATCCAGACAGATTCACATAAAACCTATTGCATACGAATGAGCCGGCGCAGTTTCGCAAGTTGCCATTCGGCGTGCTGAGAATGACGGTACAAAAATAAACCACCCTGCAGTCCCTAATGTTTGAGAAACATGAGACCGATGTAAGTGCGTCCTCAGACTAGAACATAGCGAATTTGATACCCTTCTCTTAAATCACATTCTGAAGAAGCATCAGTTCACGATGGAAGTAAATCATGATCTGAATTATTTGTTGGGAAAAAGTGTTAAAATAAAGCTACCTGACTGGGAAGTCCTGACAGGCGGGTCAATCGATCGACACATTCAGACCAGTTACTGGGTCGTCGTTCGATGCGTCGGGCACACCAATCACATCGCTCAAGCGTGAACAACATGTGAGAGATTCAGCTGGGTTCCAGGTGGGTCACCCATCAAAACCAAATTGTTATCGCAATAAGTGTATTTTTGAACAATATCACCTATTCAGACTTGATGATCCAGGCGTGTTCAGCAAGCGCTGGTGGAGTAGTGGAAACATTCTCGTTTCGCATATCGGGTGCTCCGACCTGCCAAGGATATGGACTGCTTATGTGCTCTAGTCCAGTGCTTTCATGTAGACTCACCAGTGTGCCAGGACAGAAGGAGGATCGTTCAAACGAGAGTGATGTGAACGTGAATTCTACGAATCTCAGGATCACCAACACCTAAATCTGAGTTGCCGCACTACAAACCGGCTGCTAATTTGGATGATGATCAAGCACCTGAATTTCGAGGATAGTTCCTCGCTAAAGGATATGAAATTCCGGAGGTGGGAAGTTCAAGCGAAGCTTCCGCTTCCGCTGAACTCATGTGTGAATAAGGATCAAACACACTTTCAAAGATATCATCCACTTGCATCCATTCAGCTTTCATTCCCAGTAAAAAGCTTTTATATCCGCTATGGTTGCTGTGCTAAATTTTCGTTACTACGTGTGATTCCTGAATGTGCCCAGAATGGGATGTGAGCCGGTCCTGATAGGGTGCATATCACCAACCTTTCCACCAAGATGTAACACTCCTACTGATTAACCCTGACTATTGACATCAGTCACCTAAAGTGGTTCATCCCGGTTCATTCTACCTGTTGTCATTATCCTTACCGTCAATATAACCATTACTGTCACTGTCATCATTATCAGCAGGGGTCCACAGTAGTCCCACCTGTAAACCTAATTGCTTGACGTTTGGGAGCTGCTGCTCGTAGGCAGAAGCTATGAAGGCCACTTCGGTTCATAGTTTGGAGCATGTTCTTTTGCCACATGGATCGATGAAAATTCCGAGCAAAGCACCGAAGGAAGTGGTACAGGCATAGAAGTGTTGTTGGAAATGCGACTGATTCTCGTCCACCATCACGTCCAGCCTGTAATGTGCTCTCCTTTGGATAAAGCAATGTCACCAGGGTGACTGTATTTACTAGCAATGGCTTTCATTTTTAGTCGTTAGGTTATGAAGTGATCTTCATCGGACAGCTTGTCCCCCAGTCTCCAGCGAGTGGTTGCTCGAAGTGGTTTGTCCTGAATGTTATGGGATCGGCAATAGACATGACCAGTCATAGAGTACTTTCTTTGGAAGGCACACTTAAATTCACGAATAAGGATCAAACACCACCTCCAGCAGCGTCATGCCCCTTAGAACAACAGGTTTTTGGAGACTTGTGGATAGTAGCCTATTAATCCTCCTTCGTGGTTGACCATTTAAATTGCAAAGCGACTGCTGTATGGTGTGATCAATGGCGGCTTTTCTAACGAGTTAGATGCTGATGATGTTCTAGTCCGGCTCTTCTCTGTGAATTCATAGAATAATGCAGCTTAAAACTCTATGCAGTAGTTTGAGAGAGGATCAATCTCGCTGTTGTCACCTGAAAAGTTTGACGGGTTCAATCGAAAACAGACTACTGCGGAGGGGTATACTGAAGAGGGGTCCCATCGTGTTCACTTTTCGTGAGCTGCCTTATTTTGCCTCAGCTTTTCACTGGTTTGGTCGATTCAGGTCGGTCGAGCAACGACAGTCCATTTTCACTACGCGTATCATCATGCTATATGGTTCTATGTAGATCAATCAACACAGAAATGAATTGGAGATTCAGTTGAACTTGAGTGAGCCTGCGTACCTACGCTATCCGATCCCGCTCGATGTAAGCTATTCAACTACCGAGGCAGTCGATGTGACGTGGATGTGTACAAATTCATTTCATGGCACAGGTGAACCACAAAAAACAACTAGCTAATTGGTGAATCAACCAGGAGTGCAAAAACAGACTTCAGGAAACTGAACATGGAGTGTTTGTGACAGATTCAGTGAACTGCACTGTAGAGTAGGGGAGTTATCCGGTCAGCTGATTCAGGTTTCTTGAATCTTAAAATCTCCATAAGTTTATGAGGATAATCACTATATTTATAAACCGTACACATAACAAGCAATGTCGGATACGAGTTTACTGGCCGGATGAGAACACGCGAAACGCTGGCTGTTCGTACCCACATACAGGGTATATATGATTTTATCAGCCACGTAAACTTGCAAATCTGGTTGTGCCACAGGAAGTGTGAGCTATAAAAGGTGATTTGTTGTGATGTACAGAACAAGGCCAGTTACATTCAGCGGCCATCAGGTGCGAAACAGACCATTATGGCGTTTATCAAAACCATGGTGGGCTTACAAGGTTTGAAAGTACAGAGGCTTTGTATCTTGTTGAAATTTTCCCACTGTTTGATCTTCTTTAAACAAACAAATTGGTTAGTGTGTCCCAACCTACCCAGTGAGACGAATGGTCTAGAATTTACTATGTCCGGAGAGTTGTTATCTCTGCTCTACAACGCTGCGATAGTATCATCCCAAACACATTCGGAGATGCTGTATCCTGACATAAAGGCTTTGCAAATGGTTTTCTACGTTAACATATATTGGACTTCAGGCGATATTGGTCCGTTGTATTTTCTGTTGTCTCTGAAAACAGAGGTGCTGAAAAACAAAAGGGGTTGTTGTGAGACCGTACGGGCCTGAGATTTCGTGGTAAGTGACCTATACTCGGCACTATCGATTGGGATTGAGACCAAAGCTGAAAAACAGATAATGTCCCACGTGAATTGTTAGGAACTTGTTTACATTTGGTCACCGATGTAGGTTCTAATTACGGTTTGGTTTCGACTAGTCGATAGAAGTGAGACACTGAAAACCTTGGATTAACAAACAGTTTTCTTTCCAGTTCTTCAAGGGGTTAAAACAGAGGTTAAAACAATATAATATCGCAGCAGATACGCAGTAGCGGTACTGCATTTCATTCGTTTTGGTAGCGTGCGTCATGTCATCGATTTGATACCAGACAAATAAAATTAGCAGCACAGGATGAGGACTCTACAAGGGAGTACGATACAAATACCAGTTCCACAAATTCGGCCCAAGGCAGAAGTAAGACGTTCTCATTCCATAGGGGAACTTGTCTCCCTGATGTGAACCACCCTAGATAAGTCCAGTAACTCTCATAGCGAGTCTAGGAGAATTCCATCAGCGAAGTCAACCTGAGACCTAGATTGCAATCTCTTCCACCGAAGAGCAGCTTTCCCATAGGAGAGATCACAGCTTACTCCCCGTCGGCGTGAAAGATACGGCTGGATTCGTAATCAACTTCATGCTCTGTTCAGCCCCGCACATCTTCGGAAACATTTTGAAAATCTTCTGTGTGAAATAATTAAGAATACTAGGAAGCTTCGCGAATAACTGATCATACGATGAGTCGATGGAACGGACTGCTTACGATCAAATGACCAGTTGTCATAGGGTGGTTTGCAAAAAAATGTCATCAAATCCCACCACTAATCGTGTATGTAATAGTTTGGAGGGATGTAAAGTCTTCACCTGTCCGTAAATCTCTCCATTTCGATCAGGATGCCTGAAATGGCAAAGGCGATTGTCCGTTGATCACTCCAACAACACCCTTGCACTGAACGTTTGAACTGGAGGGTTGCGTAAAATGATTGCAGTTGTCTAATGTTCTGCGGAATACTGGGCTCACCTGCCAAAACCGATTCTTTGCCGCCTGGATATTGTCTTTGAGTGAGGAAGTGTGGGAAAATATTCTCGAAGTATCAGGTCTTCATGACCGAATATGATTACAGGAAGTGGTTATGCTGGTCGGAAAGATTTCCTCTCCACTTAGGTTGATGAACACTGCCGACCAACATGAACAGGTGAGCAGTTCAGACAGTGACCTTTTCTGGACAACACAGCATCCAGAGGTATATGAGAAATGTCGAAGCTGCAGTATGCGTTCATTGAGGATTTTAACACCCAAAATGAAGTTCCAAAATACTTTTTGGCTTTACTAATTCGTCTAAAAATGGCAGTAATTTAACCACTCAAAAACACGGTATTCATACCTAGTCGAGTTTTGGACTTGAAATAGACTTTCTTCTAGCCGAAATTTGAACTTCTACGTGTAATACGGTATATGCAGTGTCCCTTTTTTACTCACGCACTTCAACGTAACTGAAAAGCTATATCTTATATTCTCCAACATCGTGGTCATTAATCTATCTTCCTTATGTCGCAATTTCTACTGGTGGTTGAAAAAACTCCATTTTAAGAAATACCACCTTCCGCATGGCTATTTCTCAAGTTCCGGTCAAAACATTTCAAGTAACCTTAATGGATTCGGTAGAATGCTGCTCTTTTGCACTCTGTCTTGCACAAGATATCACATTTATGTGTAACTTTCAGTTCACAAGAGAATTTTTCTTCGTACGAACGACAAGACTGGGGGCAGTAGGCTTTTTTCCGAGAGTTCTCGTGTTAATGACACCCTTCGTTTTCACTTATCTGACTAATCTATGTACGAAATAAGTATTGGAGTGTGCGTCTGAATGCTTTCACAAGCAGAAAACGCCGGGTTTGACCCACCCCAATTGTTCGCACAAAGAGAAACTGTCCGTTTTGGTGACCTCTGAACGGTCAAGCTGATCGATTTCACATGTTTCGACTGAGTTCGTGACGCAATTCACACTTTGTTGTTTACTCTATTGATTGGCTTGGGTCAACACCTCTGAGGAGACATTTGTCCGAATACGGGCTGTTTTGGCTGCTTTGCCAGTCATGAGACGCTGACACCTAGAGCCAGTTCCAACTAGCAAAGTCAGCGACAGCTGCTATTTCAGGGAGAAGGATACAAACAATGTCAAACTCTTAGGATGGACGGAAGGTTGCAAACGTGCGCTGTATTTACCATAGAAAATTTGGTCCTACCAACTGGGAGCAGTTTTGTGATTTTCATTCGGATGCAAATGGAAGATCTGTTTGAAAGGGTGCCGGATCGTTTTCTTTCAATAGGCAGTCATTTTGGGTGTTCAAGAGTTCCACTTTCTATAGTCGGTGTTGGAAGAGATATGTGACAGCTCACTACTAGAAAACTTCCCCAGTCTGTGTGATTATATGCAGTGATGGACTGCCTCCGCGATGGAAGTCACACTTTCATTATGTTTCAAAGTGAGAAACTAAAGCTTTAGATTTTCTGCACCTTCCATGTGGAGATTTAGCGAGGGCCACTACTGGTATTCCTGCAGTGTACACTGTTGAGGACGAGATCGAGCAGTGGCACAATTCAGGAGGGCACTAAGGCATTGCATTCAGCGTATACCGTCCGTAACCTAATTTGGAAGGGGCAAAGCGTTTTCAACTTGTTTCACCAGGAAAGCTCGTAGACAGAATGCAGATAACACAGAGTGACTGTAATGTGGAATTCGAACCAAAAATTATGTGGAAGAACTTGCCGGGCTAACGGTAGTCACGCTCTGAACAGATTCATTTCACCTCAGTTTGGTGTTGTTGAGAGCTCCGTGACGAAACGGTCAGTCAGTTGTTCGGCTACAACACGTATACCGTGGTTCCACCCGCTTGGAATGCAGTAACTTTAGTGAAGGACGGACAGGGACTGCGTAAAACGTCAGGCAAACCATCTGTGGGCGTGTCTGGCTCCGGCATCTCTAACCGTGTATTTCCTGATTCGTTGTTAAGTAATAGATTGATCGTCTCTGAGTCAGTTCCCAACCGATACATAACTGGACGAAGAAGTCTCTTCGAGCCAATATGTCCTCTGACAAACGAGATAAATGACCTACGAAGTGTGACCAGCTGATCCATTGGGGAAGATTGACGTTCCTTGAAAACCATCTGGCGTGCCTAAGTATCACTTATCCGCTGCTCCCACCTAATGCGCGCGATGCCACATTGGCGTCGACCGTCAAACACGGTGGGTCTTCGAAAATCTTCCACACGTAGCGGCCATATTCCGTAGAAGGATTCATTGATCGACACTGAGAATTTCTGACAAAAAAAGGATTAAGAATAGAAATAGAGAAGAACGATCGATATCGGTTGCCGGAAAAAGTGGCGCATATTAAGCACTGTTCGCAACTTTCAGTCTCGTCCAGGGTGAAACCTAGTTAGAGTTCTACGAATGTGACTAACCTGATAATCGATAATGCTGCGCACGACAATACCAGAGGACAGCTTTGAACACCTGGCTATCAAACTGATATCTCGGTATTTTTGTGCTGTATTTCTTACTCTTTTTGAATACTGCATTTACTGTCGAAAGGCTTCATTCTGCCAGTAGTCTATTCCAATTCGAGATATTTCGCGTTACGGTCGTCAGACTAGCTACAAAGGATTCGCCGCCTTTTTCAGAAGGTATCAGTGCAAATCGTCTGGGCTAGATCTTTCGTCACCCAAGGCAATAAAACTTCGCTCAGGATCTCTGTTACCAATGGAGAACTGGTGCGGATGTTCTATTCAGATCCATGTGACTGATGAAGAGGGCCAGCTGAACTACTCTCCAAACGCTCAGCCCGTCGTTTCAGATCGTGATGGTTCTAAGAATTCTGCTGTTGCTAACACCAGCGGTCCTAGTGCTAGTTCATCGGATTGGCTGAATTTGTTTTCTTCCTTTCCGCAAACCTCATCCGTCTTCCTGATATTCGTTTTCACCAGCGCTCCCTGTCAATCACTATTCGACCTTCGAAGGATCTGAGTATGTCATCATAGTCAGTTGTTATTATACTTTGTTCCACATCACTAAGAGATGCTGATCTTAACGAAATGCGGGGTTCGCCTGACCGACTGTGAGCAAAGCCATTTTCACATACTTTCACTCATCCTCCAAATCATCAATGTTGTCGTTATGTTGGCCTATTTCTCAACACTTTTGCACCAACTCACCCCTGCATCACTAGGTAACGGCAACAACCTTGAATTGATCACTCAAAGGGTACTGCATCCACTACGTCCAGCATGCTCACTAAGGAAAACGAATAGACAGGCCTACCAGAAGGAACGACAGTCTTGAACTGGAGCCGTTCCTCGATAGCTGATTGCCATATCGTCCATTTGGGCCCGCGGATATGCTGCATTTGGTAGTTTCCAGGTGACACGTGATCGCTTGTCTTAAGAGCTTATACAACCTGAGAACAAATGATGTTCGTCACATTAGTGAAGTAGTTACTCTTCACTGTCTGTGGTGTTGGCTAAGGTTTAATTGGTAAACAAGTAGAACACATCTGATCGAATCCTAATGCAAACGTACAAAATCCATTCAATTCGAAAGAGGGGGACCAAGGCAACAGGACTTCTGACAGGAGCTACTGAGTTCTCACAAGAGAACAAGAGACTGAACTGGGGTGGCCTCATGCAAGCGTGTAGTAGTAGTGGTACAAGACAGGCGACTCTATCTCCGGCATCCGAAAGCCGATAAAGTGAACATCTCAAGGGAATTGAGTGGGATTACACCGGTGATCATATGGCTGGACCGTCTTATCATCAGTCAGTCTCAACTCAACCAATAGCACGAGAGAGGAAAGACTTGGAGGTAAATGAGTGACAGAAATCGAACCACTGCACGAAGGTCAACATTCCGTAACATTGTAACTGGTCACGCAAGTAGAAACCCCTAAAGTAAGCAAGGCATTACAATTCTGCAGTGTTTATCAGACAAGCTTTGCATGGCAGGGCGCCATAACAGCAATCGGGACAGAATCACGAAGGCTGATAAGTAAGCGACAGCCACTCTTGTACATTCGAATCAGCAGCCAAATTATCTTACAGTGAGATAAAGTTCGCTGAGAAATCGATTATGGGAGGTTTTTTAAATGACTTGAGTAGCATTTTTTCTATCGTTACTTTTCACGTCTTTTTCCTGTCATTTGTGAGAACTGCTTTTTGAACCCTAATTAGTTCCTCCTTCAAGGTATGGTAAATCGAAATTAGTGGTTGGTGAAAACTTGGTCATTAAACTTCTTTGTGAGTGCCTTTGAAAGGGATACATTTATTTGCTGTTCCTAAATAAATGGGATAAAATTACGCCTCCTTCTAAGCATTAATTTGTCTCGGAATTCAAAATTATCCGTCACCCGGATAACCGATTAACCATGAATCTCAAAAGAACAAATGGGCAGGTGAGGATATTGGATTACTCAATTTTGGTACTTCGAGTTTGATCGGCGGAATGCATGCTATTATTTCTTTGTATCAAATGATTTGTAGTCATAGACCACAGCGGATCATGCAAAACGTGACTTTTTACATAGCCTAGAATTGTCCCGATCTGGGTCTACGTACGTTAGGGCTCCCATGGTTCGACATGTCGAATGCCAATAATGTTTCGGGTTTTAAAGAACCGTTGTAGCCGACAGAAGAAAGGGAGGGAACAGGAACTATACTGTGCAATGTTTTCACTTCACCTGTTACGTCCTGAAACTGCATCTAAGTGAAAAACGGGAGGACTAGTACTCATGACAAGGAAACTCGGGAGGAAAATTAAATATACCCCAAATATTTCAACACTATCCGCAGGATGTCTATCTGATGACCGTTATTGACAAATCACGTGGGGACAAGCAAAAATTTGAGGCTTACACCGTAAATACGAAGTGGCCGCATTACTTATAAGACAAACCTGGGGCATACACCCACCCATTATTCAGTTCTGTCTGTACAACAATAGTCATCGGAGATCACTTCTAGCACTGTTATAGGTCTAACACTCCGGAACATTTGGTCGTAGGACGGGCGTTGGAGGCACACAAATGGAAACAATCTAGTAAATGAATTTAATGTCTGTTAAATGTGACGGTGTACGCTGCTGGTGAAACGTTTGAACACCATCGGTTTGTATTTCAAAGCACCGATTCCACAATAAACTGATAGTTGAGTTTGGAATTATATGTCTACTGAAATTTACTCTTTAGTTCTTATCCGTATTCAAACGACACCCAGAAAAGTTCGGAACCACGTCTTAGGAAATCGTGTTCTTCAAATTTGATGTAGAATCAGCCTTGCTTTCCTGTCCGATGGGTTGTGACCGCTTTGTTCGCGTTTCAAAATAAATTAGCTTTGAGGTACTCCGGGGACCTGCATTACCGATATGGCGATCAGACCTGTATGGCATTAGCAAGCTTCGCAAAACCTAAGGTGAGACTTCAGCTCTAAAAGCTGATAATATTATCGAGCAATGGTGATGGGGTTTTTAGATCTCCACTTCAGCCAAGCAACAGAGAGTAGCACTGAGTGCTTCCACCATCGACTTAGCAACGCCCGGTCGTTTTAGTCAGTAATTCAGTTTAAAACAATCGGTGATTTCGAACAAACAAATCGACCGACTCCAGGTGCCGTGGAGCCGAAGAAAAAACCCTGAAAAACAACATTTGCCTTTGAAAGTAGGCTTGCGGTTAGCTCAACAATACGAGGACAAATTGAACAGGACGTTTCCTTTTCCACCGTTTGGGCCTCTGTGATCTCATCACACTGTATTATTCGAATCAAACACTTTCAGAGTCCGACCTCAGAAACGTACAGTAAAGGCAACAGCGGATCATACAATATGATCAGCCTGTGCTGGTAGTGTGAGGAGATTTGAGTATTTTGTGTGAAGCCGGTCTATGCAGAAAAGCCAAGAAGCACTGTACAGCTATTTCATCCGTATTGGGAATCGTCAGCAGTGCGCATATCACGAAACTCCGCAGAGTTTCGAACCCGCGACCTCCTGGATAGTAACTTGAACACTTGACCGTTCGGCCACTAAATCTCCACATGATCAACCTCTGTTATACGTTCGACACTCGATGATTGGCACTTTGAAGTAAGGCTTCAAGATCTGCAACTTTTCGTGGATCCGTTGAGAAAAGAGCCGACCAGTTTTGTTGGTGTAACTGTTAGTGGGACTGATAGCAAATTGATCATCATCATCATCATCATCATCATCATCATCATCATCATCATCATCATCAACAGCATGATATCAGTGTTCAACACCGATGCTTCGCTGCCGTACAAATGCAAATTATTAAACGATGTATGGGTTACGATAAACAGGCGATTTTCTGGACGTAATTATTCAGGTTGTAGAAATCAGACAAAAATGGACGCCTTCATATGTACTTACTGCATTTTGAAATTTGGCCGGCTTGGAATGATTTGAAATGGAGTAATTTTCTTTTTATGGCCGGCAATTTTTTTTATAACTTATTACTTACCCATCGGTAACTTATTTGTTACATCGATTTAGCTAGCCTCGGGAAAAACGATTACATACCAAAACGTTTGCGAATGACGAGAGTAGCCGAACCGATTAGATCTCGCAGCCTATTTTTTTAAAATAGTTTTCTGATAAAAGTATGCATAGAGTTAATTGCAAGGGCTGATAATCACCAAATAACAAAACAATTTCTATATGATTCAGCTGACTAACTGTTCCTTGGGTAAAGTTTCCGTACGTTGGTTGAGATCCTCTTGAAACATGTATTGTATGTGGACGGGGAGAATAAAATGGCGCAGCCCTGGTAGATTCAACTGGTTGTGTAATGTCTTTTGATAGTGCATCGTAGGCCAGAAAAAATACGAGTTGGACGTGCGGAAAATGCCCACTTGATCCTACCAAGTTCCTGTTTGTTTTGTGCAATTTCCACTAAAGGCTTTCCAAGCCATTGTTGACTGTCTCTGAAGAGACCACTGAACTGACTTTGGTGTGTAGTGCAGCCAATTTTAAAGTTACGACAGAGATTTGTACGTTTCTCAATGTGAGATGAAGGTATACTAAGCGCTGGAAATTTTCCGCGCTCAAGTCTCATGGTGAGCGCCTCCGCATAAACCAGACCGATGGGTCACTTGTCGAAAGACCCAAACGGACAAACTGCACGAACATACATATATACATACATACATACATACATACATACATACATACATACATACATACATACATACATACATACATACATACATACATACATACATACATACATACATACATACATACATACATACATACATACATACATACATACATACATACATACATACATACATACATACATACATACATACATACATACATACATACATACATACATACATACATACATACATACATACATACATACATACATACATACATACATACATACATACATACATACATACATACATACATACATACATACATACATACATACATACATACATACATACATACATACATACATACATACATACATACATACATACATACATACATACATACATACATACATACATACATACATACATACATACATACATACATACATACATACATACATACATACATACATACATACATACATACATACATACATACATACATACATACATACATACATACATACATACATACATACATACATACATACATACATACATACATACATACATACATACATACATACATACATACATACATACATACATACATACATACATACATACATACATACATACATACATACATACATACATACATACATACATACATACATACATACATACATACATACATACATACATACATACATACATACATACATACATACATACATACATACATACATACATACATACATACATACATACATACATACATACATACATACATACATACATACATACATACATACATACATACATACATACATACATACATACATACATACATACATACATACATACATACATACATACATACATACATACATACATACATACATACATACATACATACATACATACATACATACATACATACATACATACATACATACATACATACATACATACATACATACATACATACATACATACATACATACATACATACATACATACATACATACATACATACATACATACATACTAACATACATACATACATACATACATACATACATACATACATACATACATACATACATACATACATACATACATACATACATCATACATACATACATGCTCCTTTCCGTACACTGCAAGGCATCAGAAGTTCCATTCTTTACTTCCTATTTGGTGTGCACGTATGTTTTGTAATGAAACCAAGTGCTCCGTTGGTCTTCCTGAACGATTTATCAGGTGATAATTAGTCGAATGCTTCGCACTAGTCGCACAACGTCTGAGTAACACCTAGTGAAGCGTTCATGTGCAGCTGAGGATCTCTTTTCGCAAAAAAAGTCAAAACCGGTCGAATGAAAGAGAACTTCTTCCAAAACTAGCCCAGAAGTCTTTGTCGACTTTTTATAATTATTTCAGGTCATTACCAACATGAAATACGAATACAGAAGGTCATCACGGAGTCCTTACTAAGTTCAAATGCTTGTTTTGGCCGTATACATCCAAAGGATCATCCATTACTTGACTGCCAGAGGACATTGGCATGGAATTCGGAACCGGAGCCTCTGGATCAAACATTTTCCACCGAATACAGGGTACTCAAATTCATGACATCATATTTCTACAAGAATACAATGACTTTGCGCAAAATTTAAGGGATTAAGATCTGAATAAGACGAATCCAACGCAAGATGTTGCGCTTACATCATTTTATACGCCATCTAATCGGGCTCCACGTCAGGCCTAGTTGGCACTCAAGTGATTATTCACTTGATTGCCGTTAGCTGGCTGGGGCCACGGACTTGACGCAGCGGCCGTTACGTCAGTTCAATGCAAAACAAACGGTCAAAATCAGAAGCCACTACCTTCAACAGCCTCCATAACCAACTAAAGAAAAACAGGGATGCGAACGGGATGCAGCATAACCATGGTCTGCGACGGTGGTTCACAGCACAAACCCCTACTGGATATGCTACACAAATTGCACCTCAGGCTTCATAGAAACGACACTTACTGAAGAGTTCAAGAATTTCGTCATCTTCGTTGACACGGACAACTTTCCGGCTACGTCATTGTTTGGCAGGTAGAATTCATTTAAGTTGACCCTACCAAAAAGATGCGTGATGCTGAACGCAACACGAATAATTGACCAATACGAGCTAATTCAGTTGAGGGAGCCATCGGGAAAAATGACTTGAGTGGAACAGTGCAATCTTAACCACCACCACACACCATTATCACACTCCTAAACAACTAATGCGTATGAATGAAAGGCTAAGTTATGATCTACATGGAGGTTAGTCTAGAAAAGACTTTGTTTCTAATTTCAGACCGTGAGAAAGCGTGTCCCTCAGCAGAAACACGATATGTGCAGTTGTGGTGCATTTACAAACCCAGCGTAACATACATACTTACATACATACATACATACATACATACATATATACATACATACATGCTCCTTTCCGTACACTGCAAGGCATCAGAAGTTCCATTCTTTACTTCCTATTTGGTGTGCACGTATGTTTTGTAATGAAACCAAGTGCTCCGTTGGTCTTCCTGAACGATTTATCAGGTGATAATTAGTCGAATGCTTCGCACTAGTCGCACAACGTCTGAGTAACACCTAGTGAAGCGTTCATGTGCAGCTGAGGATCTCTTTTCGCAAAAAAAGTCAAAACCGGTCGAATGAAAGAGAACTTCTTCCAAAACTAGCCCAGAAGTCTTTGTCGACTTTTTATAATTATTTCAGGTCATTACCAACATGAAATACGAATACAGAAGGTCATCACGGAGTCCTTACTAAGTTCAAATGCTTGTTTTGGCCGTATACATCCAAAGGATCATCCATTACTTGACTGCCAGAGGACATTGGCATGGAATTCGGAACCGGAGCCTCTGGATCAAACATTTTCCACCGAATACAGGGTACTCAAATTCATGACATCATATTTCTACAAGAATACAATGACTTTGCGCAAAATTTAAGGGATTAAGATCTGAATAAGACGAATCCAACGCAAGATGTTGCGCTTACATCATTTTATACGCCATCTAATCGGGCTCCACGTCAGGCCTAGTTGGCACTCAAGTGATTATTCACTTGATTGCCGTTAGCTGGCTGGGGCCACGGACTTGACGCAGCGGCCGTTACGTCAGTTCAATGCAAAACAAACGGTCAAAATCAGAAGCCACTACCTTCAACAGCCTCCATAACCAACTAAAGAAAAACAGGGATGCGAACGGGATGCAGCATAACCATGGTCTGCGACGGTGGTTCACAGCACAAACCCTTACTGGATATGCTACACAAATTGTACCTCATGCTTCATAGAAACGACACTTACTGCAGGGTTCAAGAATTTCGTCACCTTCGTTGACACTGACAACTATCCGGCTACGTCATTATTTGGCGTGATGCTGAACGCAACACGAATAATTGACCAATACGAGCTTATTCAGTTGAGGGAGCCATCGGGGAAAATGACTTGAGTGGAACAGTGCAATCTTAACCACCACCACACACCATTATCACACTCCTAAACAACTAATGCGTATGTATGAAAGGCCAAATTATGATTTACATGGGGGTTAGTCTAGAAAAGACTTCGTTTCTAATTTCAGACCGTGAGAAAGCCTTTTTCTGAGCAGACCGGGAGAAAGCGTGGCTCTCAGCAGAAACACGATATGTGCAGTTGTGGTGCATTTACAAACCCAGCGTATTTCGATACTCGAATATAAATGTTTCATTTGCAAGTGTTTAGATAAAACACACCAACCTTAGTAAAAGAGTGGAGCTCCGCAACCTGTACGCAAATCTTCATGAGCAGAAGAGGCTTTCGGAACACCAGCGCGCCCTTGCTGCGAGACACATGGACAAGCTGAGATAACCTAGTCGAGAGCTTGCCCTTTCAGTGAAATCAGTCCATGCCTGAAAGCAGATGCAGAACAGCTGTTTCATCCTTGTTAGAATTCATTGGTAGTACACCCCCTGTAGGGAGACTCAAAACCACAATAGTTTAGCTGGTAGTTGAAGACCATGCCGTCCTCATACTGTCAACAGACTATGGGTAGCTTGGAGGGAAGAACAATCCATAAGATGAGTGAACTGAGAAACCGTCACTCGACGGGCTAGTCAATGTGTGAACACGCATACGAATACGAAGTCTAGAATGAGCTATCGAAATCTCTCCATAAAATCGATAACTTGAAATAAGTTTGCTCAATTTCTAACAACTGAAAGTAGGTGACTACTGCAACTGCATAGCATGTTTGGTCCTGAAGGCCAGGCAGGTCGGCTTCCGGTATTCATGTTTGTATGTTTTTAATGCTGAGTAAGTGTGGTTTCATATGAAAGCCGAAGAGGTGATGGACGACACCAGTGCAGTATTGTTTAATGTGGTACTGGTACTCACCCAGTCATTCCAGTTGACGTTTCTCAGCAAGCGTTTGTGAGGTAATCCTTCAACCTTAGTCCTTCTGGTTCTGTCGAATTCCTAGTCTCTCAGGCAGTAACACATCCTTCCCGGGCAGTATTACCAAACTATGCGCAAGTGCCCCGTGAAAAAAACCATTACTGACGAACCAATCTACTGGAT